GGCATTTTCCTACCATAGGAACTGTTGTCATCCAGGTAGAAGGTAGGAGTAGAGATTCCTAAAGGTAGAAATTCTTCCCTACGTAGAAACCCTCCTTGCCCAAAGCCACTTTTCAGTATCAAACAAATTATTAGAATCAATTTAAAACCAGGTTATTACTAAAAATCTTAATAATTGTGTAGCCACTTCCTTCTCTGCCTGGAAAGATGCCACCTAACTCCTCAACCCATGCCACTGTCAGCTAGCTCTCCTCACAGTGTGTGTGAAGGGGAGAAAACATCAGGCCCAGAAGAAAAGCATGGGCTGTCCACATCCCTTAGCAGAGAAGGAAACAGGGACATTTACAAGAAGAACGGGACTTCAAAGCGCCTCCTGCATGGGAAAAAGTACTCACCTCATAGCCGTATCTTATTTGCTGTGTCTATCCCTCGGTGGTTCTTAAGGAGCACTGAACAAAGGTGACTGCGCTGGCATAGCCATCTTCTGCCAGGATTAATTTATTGCCCTGTAAAGCTGGTGGCAATTGGAGGAGAGGACTGGATTTTCCTACAGACCATAAAAGGCCCTTGTTTCCCTGTGATATGGAGGAACCTTCATTTGTTAATGAAAGGGGAAGGTGGAGTTTTCATGTATTAGTTCAGCCTCTTCTGTGTTTCTATTCATATCCAGTAACTTTGCTTGTCACACAATATTATTCTTGCTTGCCTGACCACGTAGCCTAAAGAGCCCAAGAACTAAGGTCTTACCGGCCTTCTTCACTCTTGTATCTTCTACATGAAGCACTTGGCCCAATATCCATGCATATTTTTAAATAAGTAGATACTTGTTGAATAAGTAAGTGAAAGAATGAATAGCTCTTGGTTTATCACATTGTTACTTTCTCCATTTTTGTTTCCCAAAGTTCTCTTGGTATAACTCAGCTCTTCATTAATTTAAACAAGCTTTCCCACAGATTATTCTAAATAAGTGAAGCACGATTAAAATAGAAATTATATCACTTTAAGCGGGAAGACAGCTCTACTGAAAATTTGTCATGCTCTTTGGCTGATCAGCACCTTTGAAAAAGCCTCTAATACTTCCCACTTTGGGAGTTCTGCCTCCCCAGGGAAGAGGCTAGAAATTCTCTTTCACGGGCTCCCTTTCAGCCAAGGTGGAGGTGAGTGGCCTGTGCTCAATTGATGAGATGTTCCTGTGACCCAGAGAAAGTGGAGAAATGAAAAAGGTACCATGGGGAATCCAGGATGGTGACGAGATAGCATTTCAGAGGCAGCATGGACAGAAGACCTATTGCACCCTACACGCAGTGCTGGGAGGAGGGTGCAAGCTGCCACACATGTGCTAAGGGCAATGGCAGTGGCAGCTGCCTCAGGACAATTGGGCTATTGTCTCCAGCCATAGTCTACAAACCTGACACTACTCCCCCTGGAGTTTTAATGAGTCACTAACATCTTTTAAAATTTCTTTTCTTCTTAGGTTAGCTGAGGAAAAAGTGTTTTTTTAAAAACTTGAAATAATTCACATACCATGACATTCAATTCAACCTTTTAAAATGTACAATTCAGTGTAAAATTCAGAATTTTAGTATATTAAAAAAGTTGTCCAACCATCATCACCATCTAATTCCAGAGCATTTTTATCATCGCCAAAAGTAAATATATATTTATTAGTGGTCACTTCCCATTCCCTCTCTCCCACCCCTGCAACCACTAATCTACTTTCTATCTTTATGGATTTGTCTATTCTGAACATTTCATATAATTGGAATCATATAATGTGTGGCCATTTGTGTCTGGCTTCTTTCACCTGGAATAATGTTTTCAAATTTCATCCAGGTTGTTGCAGGTATCAGGCATCTGCAGGTATCAATACTTTATTTCTTTTTATGGATGGACTAGAGGCCCGGTGCACGAAATTTGTGCACAGGAGGGGGGGTCCCCTCAGCCCAGCCTGCACCCTCTCTAAACTAGGACCCCTTGGGGATGTCCGACTGCCGGTTCAGGCCCGATCCTCTCAGCCCAGCCTGCACCCTCTCTAATCTAGGACCCCTTGGGGATGTCCGACTGGTGGTTCAGGCCCGATCCTGGCCTGAACTGGCAGTCAGACATCCCTCTCACAATCCTGGACTGCTGGCTCCTAATTGCTCACCTGCCTGCCTACCTGGTTGCCGCTAACTGCCCCTCGCTGCCGGCCAGGTCATCCCCAACTGCCCCCTCCCTGCTGGCCTGGTCGCTCCTAACTGCCTCCCCCTGATGGCCTGGTCACCCCTAACTGCCCCCCTGCCGACCTGGTCGCCCCCAACTGACCCCCTGCTGGCCTAGTCACCCCTCGCTGACCCCCTGCCAGCCTAATTGCCCCCAACTG